GCTAAACCACAATGGGCAAATGTGCACAAAATAAGCGCGTTTTGTTTAATGGTAACGTAATTTATTCGAGGTGGTTTCATGGTGTCAAAACAATGGCATTTCTCTCAGATAGAAAAGGCAAACAACAATTTCTTGATTCGCTCCCGTGTCGTATCAGATGCGCATAGGTTTATTAGAATACATCAGTGAACGCTAAGGCAACCGCAATAATTTGAAAAAGAAATAATCATGTACTGATTCCAACAACTTTATGAACAGCAATGAAATACATAATATATGCCCACTAGCTACATTTATCAAAAGCTATTCGAGGAAGGCAGTGTGGGGATGCTACACTGTGATACATTTTAAGACATTTTACAAGAACATAAAAAAGATTTTACAACATAAGTATATAACATAATACGCTGCGACAAAACAAAGGTAACTTGAATAAAAAAAATTCAAAAAGAAAAAAGTGTTGCTCGTAATTGAGGTTTTGAAAATAAAATCTGATCTCGGACAGTTGAGTTGAGGCGTTGAGAAGTCTAAGCAATCTATTCTGAAAGGAAATAAAAGTCCATTTTATTCAGTCAGTTGTGGATATAGAATCAAGCAACTATTCTTTTAAAGATAAGGATAAACAAAGCTGTCCACTGAAATGTAAAGTTACTGGCAGACGGAACTGAATATAAGAGTTTCGCATCAAGGTTTTTGAAGTATTTTCTTCCGCAATCTAAAGATATATATCGTTGTCGTTAAATTTTATTTCAACAGAATTAACGAAAGGGTTCCTTTAACATCAATTGAATGTCTGCAGCTAACATAAAAAAAGATAAGAAATGTAAATATTTTTCTACGTCTTATGAATATGAGTTAACTAGGAGTGTTAAGTATAACAGCTTGGAATTTCGGCCCCCAGTGCCACGGATAAATTTTTTTTCAATTAAATTAAAAGCATCAACTTGACTCGCTGTAAATTTTTAAAATATAAAATTTGCAATATTCGGTAAAGCAGGAATAATTTTAAAAATTTCTCTGATCCCTCTTTCCCTAAGCGATTTCAGCTAAATGGTTACTACAAGAACAGAATTTATTCGTCATTTTGGAATCAAAAAAGAAAAAGGTTTTCCTTATCAATGGCGATAGCCTCTTCCAGCGGACAATTGGCCCTTAACCACCAGAGACCTTCGTACATCTGCCTCGCTTTTTCTGAAAACGTCTTCTACTATGACAATCACATCTATTTTGTATGAATATAGAGTCATTCCTTATAGGAATGTTTTTGAATTTTTAAAGAATTATTAGCAAGAACGGCCCGAACTTTCTTTTTGTGGGTTAAGTAAACTTAAGTTTCGTTTTTTGGTTATAAAAAGACAGCCTTATCACACAAAGGCCTTTCTTTGCGGTTTTAATGAGCGCGTAAACTGCACTGTTACGCACATGTCATATTGCGTGAAATGATGAAATTACTTAAAGAAATCATCAATAATTGAAGAAATAAAAAAGAAGATATAAAGAAAGCTAGAAATTTTCTTTTCTTAACGTTCTGGCGTCTTTCAATCAAAAATAGGTGCTGAGAACTTAATTTGTTGACAACAACTGATTTCTTTTACCCTAAGGTAAATCAAATCTCCGTTTATTTGAAAGTGTAGAAATGTGGAGAGTCATAATTCTCGTTTTAATTCTGAACGAGGTCATTGCTGAGGAGAAGTCTTCTGAAACCGAGGAAGTGAAAAAGACTGTGGCAAAGAGAGATGAAGTTTTTTACAACAATGTAGGATCGGTGAAAAATTCCTACAGCATCGCGGATCAGGACAGAAGCTCGAGGTCAACAGACAAGCAAGAAGCTCAAGGAAACCAAGCGGAAAACACAGACAGTAGATTGTTATACTATGGCCCATTTTACCCTAGGGAAATTGGTGAACGGGAATTTCAACAGGACTACTCGGAATATCCCCCTTATGGAGAGTGGTACGGACCTTTTGAGCCTCCCGAGGAATACTATGAAAACAGAGGAGAATATTACCCGCCTGAGGGAAACGAAGGCTATTATAAACGTTCACTTTACCGCTACGGTCCCCGTGGCGGTAGAAGTGTGTATTATGGCCCTCGAGGAGGGAGATCTCTGGAGAATGCCAATGGTCCCCGAGGAGGGAGGTCTATAGATACTCTCAATGATGAATATAGTGCAATGGGGCCAAGAGGTGGGAGATCCATGGAAAGCTCTAATGGACCACGTGGAGGAAGGTCTGTAAACGATGCGTCTACAACTAAGAATTCAAACACTGGACCACGTGGAGGGAGGGCTGTGGAAAGTGACGGACCAAGAGGAGGTCGAGCAGCGGAGGAATCCCAAAAAAAGAGATCGACAACAACAGAGAAAACATCCGACGCCGCGTCAGGGACGGAGAGTGGCCCACGAGGAGGAAGAGACGTTAAAGCCGACGTAGGCCCGAGGGGAGGCCGAGCAGTTGCCGACGCGAAGAAAACCAATGCTGGTAGCGGACCCCGTGGAGGCCGAGATGTCCAGTCTGATACTGGCCCACGAGGAGGTAGAAATGTGGACGAGAAAGGTCCCAGGGAGGAGAGGGTCAGGTCAGTTTCAGATTCCTTAAGTAAAGGCCCCAGGGGTGGTAGGTCTGTAGCGTCTGGTCCGAGGGGTGGTCGAGCAATAAATTATGGTCCCAGGGGGGGTAGGGCTATTGCATTTGGTCCCAGGGGTGGACGGGCTATAGAATATGGTCCAAGAGGCGGTCGATCGCTATTTTTTGGCCCACGCGGTGGTAGGGAAATTTATTACGGTCCACGAGGCGGAAGAGCTATAGAGTACGGTCCACGGGGTGGTAGAACAGTAGATTATGGCCCCAGGGGTGGTAGATCGCTAGAATATGGGCCCCGAGGTGGTAGGTCTATGGAAATATACGGTCCTCGTGGTGGAAGGGCTATAGAGTACGGTCCTCGGGGTGGTAGAACAATATATTATGGCCCAAGAGGAGGTAGATCACTTGAATATGGACCCCGAGGTGGTAGGTCTATGGAAGAATATGGTCCTCGTGGTGGAAGAGCTATAGTGTACGGTCCTCGGGGAGGTAGAGCTGTAGAATACGGTCCCAGGGGAGGTAGATCTACTGAATATGGCCCAAGAGGAGGCCGAGATATCGATTTTGGTCCGCGTGGTGGAAGGTCTCTCTCACAGGGCCCAAGGGGTGGTCGCTCAGTTTTGTTTGATACTTTTAATGGTCGAAGAGGAGGCAGGTCTCTGGACAGAAACGGCCCACGCGGGGGTAGAGCAGTGGAATATGGCATGTATAACGGTCCCCGTGGGGGGAGGGATATTGATTACATATATGGTCCCCGTGGAGGTAGAGGGCTAGCGTATGTAAACGTGTATGGTCCGAGAGGAGGAAGAGCCCTAGGGGAAGAAGAATTTGGTCCAAGGGGAGGTCGCGACCTTGACTATAAAGGAGAGGAATATTATTATTACGGTCCTCGGGGAGGGAGAGCTATTTACTATGAAGCAGGGCCCCGCGGAGGAAGAGAGGTGGAATATGGGCCAAGGGGAGGGAGGGACCTTTTCAGTGGGCCACGTGGTGGAAGAGACATCTATGGACCTCGTGGGGGACGCAGTACTACCAACACTGACAGTATCAATGGACCTCGTGGTGGGCGCGAAGTAGAAAATGGACCGCGAGGAGGTAGGAGCACAATAACTGAAGCAGGTCCTCGCGGCGGACGTTCCATTTTATCTGAAAGTGCTATGGGGACGCACAGTGCGGCGACCAGTGACGGACCTCGTGGAGGAAGGAGTCTTAAAAGTGGCAGCACTGAGGAAACAGGACCTCGTGGCGGACGAAGCGCCTCCGAAAGCAGTAAAGCAGATAAGCGAGAGGCGACCAGCACGTCAGAGAAGGAGACAAGTGAGAAAAAGAGACAAGAAAGAGACGCTGATATTGATATGGCCAAGGTCGATAAACTGTTGTCAAAATCAAGCTAAGAGGAAGTGAACCAGGAGTAAATGTCATCTATTTTATGAGGTAATCCATTTATATTCTTGTCAGTCGTGTATAAGACTCTTTTCTCCAAACCAACATTTCAGGTTCTGATCTAAAGTTCATAAGACTTAAAAAAAACGTTTTACAACTAAATTATGGAGCGACATCCGTAAAAGACTGCTCAGTGGCTCACAAATTACGGTTCCTTTTTTAACGAATAATGAAAAAAATATGGGAAGTGAAATGTGAAAAACCCAACACCAGAAAATCATGGGAAAGTTAATAGAAAAAAGTCAGATGAAAACTGAGATGAATAGGAAAGTTACGGAAAAATTTTTAGCCTTTCTCAAGTTATAGAAAATTCTAGATGGTATGTGCCCCTGTACAGTCCCTGTGACGTGAGAGTTACCTTATGACTGAAAACGACTGTTATCACTATCAACCATCTTAATCGATGCAAATTTAGCAAGCTTTATTTGGCTCTTTATGTCGTTTTGTGACAATTTCTTTTCAAAACATTGTTGCCACTGAAAAACATGTCATGAACCAACATCTCTCCACAATGCTACCCCGGATGAATGTTACAAAAAGTGATTAAAAAATTTTCCCCTCAATTCAAAACAGCACATCGTTGATAAATTAACCTGCACTCCCTATTGACGTAACTACATTTACTATGTTATCACAGGTTAGCGGTCATTAAATTTGATGAAGGATTTAAAATACGAAGCATATGATCATGAATGGACAACAGATTGGTCCCGGCATCTCAATAACTCTCACTATCCAAGACGCGAATAACGAAGACTTCTTTTCCGTTTGAAAACGAGTCCGCCAACAGCGCTGTGTAACTCAGTAACTTGCTTTAACTTTCAAATAAGTTGCGTTTCTTAAGATGTAAAAATATAAATCGGATTCAAGTTTAAAATAGTTTGAGATCGTCTCAAAATGTTATATGCCGTGAAGCGAGAGGAAATGAATAAAGATATATCATAACCACGCAAATGCCGTTTGTTTGACGTTATAAGGTATACTGTGCAAGGGCAAAACTAACAATAGCCTGCGAGCAAGCTCTCCTATTTGGGCAAACGAAGTGAGCCTCGCAAGAACGCGCGAGCGAGGGGCCTTTCCTCTGCCCCTCGCGGCTTCGCCGCTCGCTCGCGCGTTCTCGAGAGACTCGCTTCACTCGCCCAAATAGGAGAGCTTGCTCGCAGGCTAAAGTAACAATAATACAGTAGAACCCAGGTAACTCGAACTCTAAAGGGAAACGAAAAAAAGTTCGAGTTAGCGGGTGTCCGAGTTATCGGGGTCGATTAAAAAATTCAATTTGCCATGTTGAAAATTGATAATTACTGATTTCTCAGGACTTCAGTGTATGGTGTAGTGCAAATGCACTTATTTCATCAGAAACCGAAACATGATTAGGCATTAAAACATCTGTTCGTTTAAAATAAAATCAAATTTTAATGTTAGTTTTCAAAGAACTTTTAAATGATCTGATTGATTTTTTTCTAAAATCAATTTATAGTTTAAATTTTTAAAAAAAACAATGGATTTGATGTTCTCGGACATCATTATCAATTAAAAAAAACATGGCACTGATAAACATGGTCTATAAATACAAGAAAAAATAATAGATCATAAAAAGAAAAGTAACAAACAAAAATATTTTACACGTTGTAAAAACGTCTTTTAAAGAACGTCGAGACGTTGACATGTTTTTAACGTTTTTTTAAAAATTTTTTAAAATTTCTTTAAATGACTTTAAGTAACATCTTATCGCCGTTTTGCATGGTCAATCGAATGTTGGAAGTAATCTAGTGATTGCATTTTGGTTCTGCCTGGCTGCGCAAAATTTTTGTGATTGGCTGATAGATCTCGCCCAATTTGCTCATCCACCAATCAGGACAAAAAGAGAGAAAGAAAAAAGAAGTTACCCGCAGCGTCTGATTTTTATTTTAGTTTTATTCTCTCCACACAAGAAAAAAATTAGAATTCATTAATAGCCTCGTTTTGAAAGTGAGAGTTTTTCAACTCAGGAAATGGCCTGATTGGACACCTTTGTGACGCTCATTTTCCCTCACTTGGTCAACCTTGTTCCCAGGAGAAGATACCATGGGAACGAGGTCGATGATTGACAAACGAATTCTTTGGCAAAAATCAGTTTGGTAATGTAATTAGTGCAATTAGCCTACTACTGTTGTTAATTGTATTGTACTGTTTGTGAAGTTATTAACAAAGTTAGTTTTTAAAAAAATCAGTTTGATAGTAAAGAACTAACCAAGATCAGGCCCAATTTTAGCAGCTTCCGTCAGCTTGCTTCCATACATTCTCTCTTACGTGGTCGCGCTAAAATTCTCTTTTCGTCAGTCGCCTTTCCCGCCAGGATTTCATTTATGAAGCGAAACTAAAATAGAGCCTGATCTCAGGTTAGACTTGTGCACATGTCTATGCTTTACAGGAAATGGTTAGAAAAGGTCCATTCGACGGGTTTCGTTGTCAATGACCACAGTTGACAAGTGCCTCGTTTTAATAATATTCAGTTTTTTGTGCACTTTTTGACCTGTCATCTGCTATTGAATTATTTACCAGGAAACTTTGGTCAGAATTTGAGCCTGTACGGCGATACATTGTTCGGGGATAATTAAGCATATTCTTCAGTAAAAGTGATAATTGTCTCAAAAAAAAAAAACTCTCTTTAGCCCTTGGTGTTCTAAGATGACTTTTTCCGATTAGTCACAAACCACACAACATTGGTTTGTATAAGAAAAAAACCTTGTTCTCAAGGTGATTGCAGGGATATGAAAGAAATCACTGCCGTTTCGTTGAAATTACAGAGGCGATAAATCGTAACGAGTATCCGCGTATTCAAAAAGGGTAAAAACTGCAATGATCTCCCACAGGGCGGATCCGCCCTGATCCCTAATGTCCATTTCTCTCGGTACGAGTCACACGTGCCATTCAGACAACTTTTTTATATAAATTTGCATAGTGACTATTGAGGCACTGTTGCAAACGAGTGAACCTGTTCAATGTTGGTAATGTTTGTTTTATGTCAAAGATACCGAAAGTTAGCTTTAGAGATTCATTTTTGACGATACACGATAAAAATGGAAAGCAGGCTGAACATGCTTCAGAAAAACAAGCGTCTCTTTTTGTGTAAACTCTGAACGTGGCGACCTATTAAATTAAGAATTGAGGTACAATGAATTCAGAACGCCATTTAACGAAACTCAGCATTATATTTCGGTTCAACTATAGACTAAAATTTCTTTATAAATTGCATAAAATAGTATTAATCAATTGTTTCACACACAACATGAAAGAAAGCAGCCTCATCTCTACATGGAAATGACGATAAACCACAACTTCTAAATTTTAGCACGGTCCATCAGTTTTCTGATCATTTCCAGTTTTTTTGTCTGCAATTTTTATTCTTAAAACTTACCATTTTGTTTAACTAGTAGTTACTTTTATGATCAGCATGGAAAATGAATTCAGATTTTAGCAGAAATAAAGGAAATAATGTGTAAAATACTCACGTTCTTGCGTCTTTGCAAAGTTCTTCCCGAAGTTCAGGCTGGAACTTGATGAGAATCAATGGCGGGAAAGTTTTCGTCAACGAGAGGCTCTGGGGAAGAGATTTGTTTGGCATTCACGTGATACTTCCGGTTTATTTCATCCAACATGGCGGTGGATCTCCATTTCATTCGGGTTTAGTGCAAAAATGTTGTTTTACCGTTCATAAAAGACAATGCCTATCAGCATTCTGTACAGCAACTGCCGTGGAACATGGCCTCACAGTGTCTGCGCTTTTGCGAATGTCTGTGGCTACATCAGCACCACTATTTGGTTTATTGTTTTGGCTCCACAAATATGGAAGAACTGGAAGCGACAATCCGTGGAAGGACTCAGTATTTTATGGGCCACTGCTAACTTCACAGCCTCTATAGTAAACTGTTTCTTCGTCTTTTCTATCACATTGCCTTTGTATCTTAAAATATCAGCTGTGTACATGCCTGTATTAGAGTTTCTTATTCTAGTTCAGTTTTGGTTTTACTCGAAGCATCATATCCAGTTTAGGCTATGTTATGGGTTAGGTTGCTTTGTCATTTGGATTGCGCTCATAACTTTGGAACTTTCCGTCGATGGAGCGGAAGAAAATGTTCAGTGGATCGCAATTGTGCTATGGTCTATTGAGAGTTTTCCACAGGTAAATGATGATTAATATATTGTCATAATTTACTATTATCATAACTATAACAAAATGGTCAAATCTGATTGGCTATCAACTGCCCTGATTTGAGCCTTAATTGGACAGTTTAATAGGACAGTACACGTCATGACTAAGTAATTGGACAGTACGCGCCATCAAGTGCGCGCTTAAATGGCTCTTTTTTTTCACTGCTAGCAAAACAAAATTTCGAATTTCTTGTGTTTTGATGTAAAAAAAAAGGCTATTTTATCACAAATTTTGTTAAAGTTATGATTAATTGGTAATGGAACTTTGTGTCATCCAATTCAGTTTGTAATCATACTCGTGATTAAACAAATTGGACTCCCACGGATTTTGTTAATCACTCGTATGATTACAGACTGAATTGGACTCCACTCAGTCCTGTTACCATTACTAATATACCGACTACTGTACATGTAACCAGGCCCTCCCAGACAAAGTTGAGCAATCAGATTACACAAAAACAACAATGCATTCCAAGAGAGTTGGTTGTCGTTCCTAACTACAACAAAATGAAATAAACAACATGGATCAAAGTCAACCAATTACAACCTTCCAATGTGACCTTTTGAACACAGTGAAAAAAGGGCTTTTGTTACTTGTAGGGGACTGTCGCTAGGAAAAAACTTACTGAATGCACGAGCAAAATGACAAGTTTATGCGACAATGTGACGAATTTATACGCCAAATGTAAAATGTAGAACGAGAAAAAAACATGAATTTCTTTTAGTTATTTTCTGCTTTATTCTCGCCTGAATCTACTGTAAGTTGCCTACATCTGTGGACATTTAATTTTTTGGCAACGATCGGAAGTCTTCAGAAACTCATTGGAAATCTTCGGAAGTTGCTGGGACATTTCTGCAATTACCGGTCATGACAAGGTGGAAATCTCGTGCATTTGACTCAAAAAAAGTTGGCAGGTATAAGAAAGCTATGTTTCCTGAGAGGTCTGTCAAAGTGATTGACAGTGGCAAAGAACGTAAATGTCAGTTAGTTTTTTTACTTGAGGTTGCAAAGTGTGGCAAGGTTAGCAATGAAGTTGCTGGTAGATGACAAAATAACAACTTGTCTCTTCTTTATTTGTAAGTTTCAGACAGAAAAACATTGTCTAATGAAAATTTTGCTTTCTTAGAAACATTTGCTAATGAATATTTAATGTTTTTGCTTGAGTAACTCATTGTTTTCTTACAAGCTGCTGAGTAGCCCGCAACCAACTTACTTGGCATGTATTGTTATTTTCTTGTAATCTGATTGGTCAAATTTGTCTAGGTGGCCCCAGTTACAGTAGTTGCACTGTAACAGGCTGGTTCAGATCGACTTGATGTGTATTCACTTGTATGGTGGCCCAATGCAATGCAATGCTTTTCTTCATCTGTAGAAGGCAGGTGTGTAAAGTACTCATGTATCGGTCAAAAGAAGCAGGCATAAAGCATTTATAAAGCACCAATAATGGGGTTTCCAGGGTGTGATAAATGCAAATTTTGCTTCCTGAGGCCCATTTCTTGAAAGTTGTGGTAACTTTTTGGACCCTAAATCAAATATTCAAATCAAAATCTAAACAATAAAAGCGCAGGTCCAAGGCAACAAATCAGTCCATTTTATTTAGCATGTTATCTACAAATCTACTGAAACCTTGACCTTGAATGTAAAGAACAAAAGCTTTCCAGGCCCAGTAATTCTCGGGACTACATTGAGACAGAGGTCTGAAAAGTGCTTCACATAAGATTTGTGGAGCCTAATTTGAAACTTGAAAAAATTTGTTGCTGCCACTGAATAGAAGCACTGAAGACTCATTTATTCAGGGTTACTTTTGACCTAAAGTAAAATATTCACAAATACCAGCAAGATGGTCCCTGAATTTGCGTTTAAAACAATCGACACAGTTGTACACAGGTCTTCTTCTGACTGGGATTTGTGAATGTATTTACCTTGGGTCGAGGCTAACCCTGCATAAATGAGTCTTAAGTGCTTCTATTAAGTTGCTGCAATGATTTTGAAACTGGACTTTTCTCTCATCTAAGTCTTTATCAAAAGGTATGGAGATAAGTCATAAGGCTGGGATGGTGTATAAATCTTTGAATTACCTTGCACCTGATTACCTGTCATCAAAATTTATTCTACACAGTGATATATTTAATTCCTACAAACTTAGAGATTCTGAAAATAAGCTTGCTGTTCCCTTGCCATGAACCAATAATACTATAGAAATAGCTTCTGCTACAGTGGGGGCTGTTCTGTGGAACAATTAAATAATTTTGCTGTCTGATGTAAGACAAGCAAAATCTTTGACTAGCTTTCGGAAAATGTTAACTTCTAGCTCGAGCAAGCTGGCATTCATGGAAAACAGGCCTTAATTTAATAAATAAATTAATTTTATTTCAACATTCATTATTGTAAGTTCTATATTACTATTAATTCAATAGTTTGTAATATTTTGGAATTTCAAAGTATAATGTACTTAACCATATTTGTATATCAGCCTGATCTTTTACCGTGTATAAAAAATGAAAGTGATGATGATGATAATGATGAATTTGAACGTGGGCTTACCCCAGTTTCCTTAAGTTTTTTTTCTTACTTGGCAGTCTAGTCCACACCCCCTCGGTACGGAAGAAGAGACAATTATCCTGGGAGTCATTACTTTTATCCCAGAGTCATTTTCTTGTTTTCCACCAGTCATATTGTCAATCAGCAAATGAACTGTCTGCTCACTACTTTTACTTTCTTGTGATTCCTTTTAAGCTTCATGTACCGACATAAAAGAGAGCTTCAGATCATTCCTGTCTCATCTTACAACTGCATTTTTGTTAATTACTCAGGTCATTTTGAACATGCGTCTCCGTACAACAAGTGGACAAGCCACGCCCTCTGTTGTCCTAGGACTTATGGGTAAAACAACAGATTTTCTGTCCAACTATATTCTGCTGTTACCATCACAATATGTGGTCATGACATACTTCTCAAGTACACTGGCTTATATCAATGGAGTTCAGGCAAGTTAATTATTGTACAATGTCTTCACCCCTTTACTACAGGGGACAAAAACTAATAACATTTTCATGTTGTAAATTCCTGAAAAACAAATAGTACTATGTGAAAGTACTCCCAAAGAGGTGTCATTTGAATTGTCACAATGCAGGATTTCAACCCCACACTCTGGGAGTAAAATGGTTATTTGACCCTGTCTGTACTAGTAGTACACTTCTGTTTGAACTCGCAGTCATTTTTGTTCCTTTTGGCCTTGTATTCACACTATAAAGGAAAAAAAAAAAGGTTTTCGAAAATGCCGTTGAAAATTTTAGTATGGACAGGCCACTCTAGCCAAGCATGACCTGGCAGCTAGGCAGTAAATTGAAAAACACAGTTGAGACTAACCTTGGAAAACAAATGTCTCACAAGATGGCTGATAGGATGATAACAACAAAGTATCAAAAAGTGTCATAAATATTTTGAAGAAACAGACACTTTGGATATACAGTAAAAACCCACGAGTAAGAACCTACATTTTCCAGGGTTAGCCTAAACAGGTTCTTACATAAATGGTGGTTAACATAAATTTAGGCTATCTAGGTTCTTAATAGGTTCTTAATTTCTGCAAAAAATTATGTTGTTGCTAAGAAGATTTTAGTGATCAGCACCCTTAAATTTGCATACCTTATGATTGCTTATATTTTAATATGACCATAATAGAGATCTATTCTCACATGAATTTTGATTTCTTAAGTCAAAACAACTTTATATATGTTGTGGTTCAATTTTATCCTTGGTTTAAATATTATTTTTTTTGTTTCAAACTCATTATCATATATTACCATACCCAAAAACAAAAGAAAATAAAATTTAAACCAAGGATAAAATTGAACCACAACATATACATGATTGTACTGTAAAACACAATATTATAAACATTTTCTCAATGACCTCAATCAAACAACATTTATATAAGAACCTTTCTCCAAGTTTTAGGCTAAAGATGTTCTTATATAGAGGGGGTCTAAATTGCAAATTTTAGCCTAGGAGGAGGAGGAGCTTTTCAAAAATGTATTTGAGTGAACATGGCTTTAGAGAGCTATACTGTTGCCATGGTGTTGGCATGACTTTTTTGTGAATATCGCACAGTTCAGTGTTTGTGTGATTTATGCCATTTGCTTTATTATTAAAGGTGGGAATCTCTGCGAGCCACCTTAACTAGAACCGTGCTCTTTTCTTACTTCTTTTAGCAATAGTTTAACTGTATCCCTTATACTCGACTATCCTTTATTTCAACAGGTTATCTGGTATCCTAAACCACAACCAAGGAGGGCTGCAATGACGTCACGACCAACATACGGAAGTCTGCGCTCTTTGAATGAAGATGCCCTGGAAGCTAATGACTGTGATCAATTCCCGCTCATCGGCGGTGATACCCAAGACTCTATAGAAGTTGATAGAGCCTCTGAAGAGGAATTGGCCTCAGTGTGCACAGTTTTCAGACCGAATTTTAATTTTCGCGTCAGAATACATGAGATTCCAACGTATCAGCTCTTTTTGGCGGGTAATCTTCTTCTCGCGCTCTTGGTTTTCAGCGTGTGTATCTGCGTGAACACGAAGTCTGCTTGGGGCATTTTCGCGCCAATCGTGGTTGTTGTTGTGCTGTTTGGTGCACTTTTGTATCGGAACTATCGTGAGGGACGCTTTCACTTCGCTGATTCGCTACTGGCTTGGCTCGAAAGCTGCTGCGCAGATCAACCCGTGCAATCCACGTGGGTACCACGTGAACAGCCAGATGGTAGATGAAGAATGAAGCAAAAGAAGCCGCATATTTACAAAGTTAACACGTGATGTAGCGTGTGACTAATGGGCGTGGTACCTTCGGACAATAAGCGTTCTCTTTGTGAAATGTTTTAATTTTTATAGCGGTCATTTCAGTGAATCTAAATCCGGATTCTAAATTTGATAAGTAAATTTTCCGTTTCCTTTCAGACAAAACTTAACCTGGATCGTGATCTTAATGTTATACGTCCGTAGGTGACTCTTTCATGTTGGTACAGTTGGGTACCTCTGTGTGTGCCGCACAAAGAATGAGAATATTTCTGATCAATTCAGATTTTAGAGTAGCAATGTGAACTCAGATTTAAGAGCAGCATTATAAACTGCTAATGGCCAATTTGTTTTGCTTGGTTAAGATCCCAGCAGCTGGAGGAACTTGTGGCCGACTGTTCAGCGGCCGACGACGACGACTACGACGGCGACGGCGATGATGGTGATGACGATGCCGATGACGATAATTGTCCTAACTGTGAAATTTGGAAACCAAGAGCAGCTGGAATATTCAGGAATGTGTATGGTGTTATAAGAATCACACTGAGCAAAGATCAGGACACGAGAGCGCGCTACAAAACCACAAACAAATTACCGTTGCTTCGTGCGGTTTAACTTTCTCACAACTGAATGGCTTTTTCCTTGCATCACCATAACGTTCTCAAGTATTTCTGGTGTTCACGGGTTTCGGAGTTTCACAGTCAATACGGAGACTATTACAGAACAAATTAGAAAAGTATAAAATCATGGCAACCATGTTGCTGACAGTTATCATAACCTGCGAGCAAGCTCTCCTTACGGGGTAGTCAGGTCGCGAGAAGTCACGTGAAAGCAGCACACGAAAGGAGACGCGAGTGCGAGGGGTTTCCCTTGCGGCTTCGCCACTCACTCGCGCGTCCTCTCGCTTCTCGCTTCGCTCACCATAAATGGAGAGCTTGCTCGCAGGCTACGGTTATCATTAAAATAACTGAAATAGTACGCGCGATCTGATTGGTCAAAAACCTATGGTTTATTATACCGGTAAACCCATGGAAAAAGGCATCCGGAACAAGAGCCGTAAGCAAAACCGGCTATTAATCTGCAAACAATGATTTTAGAAAGGCTAAAAAACAGAACAAGTTACTTACCCAGCCCTTCTTAAAATAAAAAAACGTTGGTTTCCCAATTTTATTACAGAGCGTCACAATTCGCTAATGCCATAGCTTTAAAAGTTATAAAGTACAAAGCTGGAAAGCAGTTTACATTTCACGACGATGCCAAATCTCAGAGAAAGACAACAACATCCCGCGTGGGTTATCACGCCGGTAAACCAATAGAAAGTGTGGTCTATTGCTTAAATAAAGTATGACTATAATTTTATCCAAATATAGAATATGTTATAGAATAAAATTGAACAATGGAAATTTAGAGTAGACTGCAAAAGAGTCCGTATTTTTGCGTATTCAAGTACGTGCGAGCAGTCAAACATAAGGTCTGGAACGAGGCTGAAAACAGAGAGCGAGACTTGGGAGAGACGCTAAAAATGCGCGCGTAAGACGTAAGACCGATTTCTGTACTGATTTTGAGAAAAAACCGACTGTTTTGCAGTCTAAATTTAGAGGCGAAAGCGTACAATAATTACATGGCTAGTAAGTTTTATGTTTACGGATAAAATAATTAATACACTGTAATATCTAAAGTAACGGCAGTTCTCTTACCCATACCCACTAATGTGATGTTGCCATCAAACCAGTTTTTGTTATAAGTATCTTGTAGGTTATAATTTCGCTAAGCACAGCGTCTTTTATATCTGGAGTTTAATTGTGATGATTACTATGTATTAAGTAAAAACCGCTTAAAAGTTGCCTCATTTCGAGTGTGAGACCAATTTTCAAAATTATTACTATGGGACTTTTTTCTTTTAAAGGTGGGATGGCCTACTTTGGTTACCAGAGCTTTGTCTCTCGCGTTTAGTGAAATGCTTCGGTGTCGGCCTCCGACACATCTTCGGCCGAAGGCCGAACACACGAGCAGCGAAGCCGCGGACAATAGTAGAAGCGCTATCCTCCAAAACATTTCCCTAGTGAAATCCAAAAAAAAAAAAATCAACATTAAAGTGGCCAATATTCTACATAGCTAAAATACAATGCTATGTTTCTTGTTGAAAGGTTGACAGTTCGGACTCCATGGAGATGTCAAAGTCCTTTTGACCGTTGGTAATCATACCAGTCATGCCTCTGGTTGCCTGCAGGCTCTCTTGTATCTTTTGCACTTGCGCTTGAAGGTTTGTAAGCGCTTCTTGAACCTCAGTTAGCTGTTGGGTCAGTGGTATGCCACTGGTGTGCTTGTCACCTGGGAAGATTATATCTTAGTCAGAGACACCGGTTGCTTACCATTTACACAAACCACCTGGGTGCAAATCTTGTGATTAAAAATAAAACTACAAATTTTGACGAGGTGGGAGAACTGTCCCATAAATCAGCTGAAAAGACGAAAAAGAGTACAAAAATTGCACCGCCTTAAATCACAGCCTATACTTTCTGAAGCTTCCCAAACAGATTTGCGCGTACCGTTTGATTTTCCATAGGGAATTTCCGGTTTTCCCGCGTAAATGGACTGGTAACTACCAAGCATCCCTTTATTATTTTCGGTACATTTCTTGCGCTTCTAATGAGAAGAATCCGTTGAACACTCCCGCAATCGAGACCTTTTCAGGTTGGTTATCATTACGTAGAGTCCGTGAGTTTCAAGAGAAATATATAGGTGCTGGAGCCAGCTAGATCTAAGTAGTTAGATCTCAACGTCCGACGTTAGCGCTGACGTAGAGTTTCGCGCTCAGATCTGTCAAACTCTTTACTTTGACCCAAGATGTTAGTTATTCCGTCTGACGTTACGTTTATGCAACCGGTCCCTCGGTTCTCCATTTAAAGGAACAACGGGTGTGTTAGTGCTGAACGAGTTTGTTGACGATATCCAAAACCTTAATCTTAAGCATACCGCATTCACAAATTGTGAAGTAGACTGGCCGCGGACACAAGAGAAATATTATCCTTGTTACTTTGCAGTACTCGTCTCAGACTAGTCCCTTATTTTCTTCAGCGATGTAAAATGAACGAGATGGGACTTAATAGAGAGGTGTTAAAAGGTTCAGTAAAAACTTGACGCTGTTGAGCCAGTGGAGGGAGGTGGGTGGAGGAGGTGCTGAATTGTTAAACACGGTGACTTCGAAAAGCATTTATAGTACCATTAATCAGGATTAAAAAAAGTCAACTCACTTGACGCAGTTTTGAAGAGGTTAAAGTGATCTCGTCGGTACACGTATTCCCAGGAAACACCAGAAATTAAAAAGATGACAAAAATAACTAACGATGCAATCAAGAGCTTCTTATTGGCTGGCGATGTGATTGACAGGACGCCAACAGTTTCTGCGGCTGATCCTAGTGCCTGCAGGAAAAATGATTTACGTGCTTATATTTCAGATCGGGGGGGGGGGGGGGGGGGGGGTAGGGGTTCCTGGGAATTATAGGTGTGGGTGTGCCGCCCGGTTCTCCGAATCCTGATCCTATTTCGGACCAAAAAATGTCATTTTCACACCCTTTTTCAGACCTGGCCTCTAAGAAATTATATTTCATCATTACTTAGATTAGAACAGGAAAAAAATGCTGAAGAAGGGTAACGCGGCCTCCGGGTAATTTAAACCGGTCGTTTTCTCCTGATTGTTCTTTAATTTTCTATGATTGGTCCATGTTTACCACGTTTCCTTTGCAGACTAGACGTTACCACCTGTTTGCATGATCGTTTCCAGAAACCCCTCTTTTTCCAGTTCACAATGCAACGTAACAGAATTTAAAAAAAGCGTGCGTTAAGTTTAGGAACACTTGAACTCGAGTGTTTCTAGCTTCTTGGTGTTTCTCGTGTCTCATATTAATTCGAGAACGCACATACGTCTTTATGCGGTTGGGAGGGGTTGGAGACGGTGGGGTTCAAGCTTACCCACACTCAGTAACCTTGCTTCGTATTGAAAGGAAATCAGAGTGCGAAGTGAACGCATTAGCTGTTTTCGCACTGCTCGAAATTTTCTAACATTTCCGAAGAGTTCCGAAGTTTTCCGAGAGACAACGAAAATTTAAGTTTTTATCACAGGGGACGATCGATAAACTTCACTCTCTGCCATAAAGACAAAGGTGGTATCTTCACATGTGTTAAATTCAAAGTTTGAATCGTCAATAAGAGAAACTCATAAAATGAACTATTCTAGAGGAAAACCCTACCTTCACTGGACGAACGTAACGTTTCAATAGTCTATTCCGCAAGTGACTATGTGAGCCAACCAAATATTTTTCTAAGCAGCCATTCTTGGCCGTGAGCTTTGGGATGCTTCTGTTGACCAGTGCGACGCTATACTCCTGGGGACTGTCAATCTGTAGTGCCACTCTTAAACGGTCATCATTCAGTTGATCCAAGTAATAATAAGCTTTAAATCTGTCCAACATAGCACCATCGACCCGCCCTGCTTGTAAGCTTTGGAACATCGCCATTTCCGATTCGTATACTTTGAAGATTTAAAGGTAAAACAACTCTTAGGTATTAACAATGGAGGAGAAACGGTAACGGAGCAAATCCCCCACATAGGCACTCGAATTAGTTTTAGTAACAAAAGGGCGAGAAATGCTTTAAATGCAATTATCCTGACCTTCTTCAATAGTTTATAGTGTATAGTGTATAAGGCTTAGTGTATAGCTTACGAACTCACAAAGTGACCAGCTCCCTGTTCGCCACTATTGCATTATAGAGGGGGGCTTTTATAGCTTTGTGATAATCGCACTGCATCTGTATCGATAAGGTGATGGGTTCGCAGCCCGGACCAAGCCTGAATGTTTTCAGGGTTTCGTTTTGCAAGTGCTTTAACTGCATACATAGCTACTGTGATCTTAATCTCAAATACATGGAACTGAAAATATAGTCACTTTGCAGTATAAAAATCGTCATCTATCTTGTTTATTACATCTTCATTCTTTTACCTTTTGGGCTCTTTACATTTTGCCGACCTTCCCGGAAAATATTGTCACATATTTGAAGTCAAAGTTTGGTTTTATTATCTTGGAATATCTAACATACTGAAAAGAAGTAATAGGCCCTTTGGTTAACAGTGGTGATAGCGTACCCCCAACTGTAATGGGCCGGAGGCCCATTCCTATAGGTGGTCCATGGGTACACTCCCTCAACGCCACAACGAGCAAAAGAGACGAAAATCCGAGGTCCCAAAGATCTGCAATTGCTCAACAGGGATTCACAGCTACACCTTTTTTTGTATTAGGAGAGGTTGCAAGATTGCTTATCCTTTGTGTCTGGGATAAGATTATATTTTCGCAAAAGCATACCTACCTGTGACATTCGCCCCAGGGTGTCTTGATTCCTTTTCAGCGTCAGATCCATTTAATGCTGCTATCTGATGTAACAATTAAAGGTCGCCAACAAAAAGTTTTTTGCTTGCTATGATTAAGTGCATTTGAAACAGGAAGGTCTTGCGAAAGAAGCTGTAATAAAATTAGTGAATCGCCAGGATAGGATACGTTTCAGAAACCAGTTTGTTGGTTTTTAGGACATTTCAGGGAATAAAACTGAGCCTTAGGCTTTAAAAAAACTTACAAGTGCGCAACAGTACTCAAGAGGGTAGGGTGAATAAATAGCAAATGACCCTGGCATCATTGGGTCACGTGTCTCATAAGAGCTTTTCTCGCCCTTTGTAATTTCTATAAATGAAAAATCCCTTTTAGGAACCAAGAAAAATCCCTGTATAGGAACGAATTTGGGCCAAACAGGAACCAAAATTGGTTCCAGCGACTCAAGAAAACGGTTTGAGTTCCATGGGGCCCCACTCAGTTATCTACAAAAGCACTGGTTCATACAAAGCTACACCACCACGGGGGTGAACATTCTGGGTTCCAGACTGCAATACTACTTGGCTTATAGGAAAATTTAAAAGCGACCTACTTGTTTCCCTTGGATTTTCTGACAATCCGAACCCACGGGGGGGGGGGGGGGCAAACTCCAGGGGTGAACATTCTGGGTTCCAGACTGCAATACTACTTGGCTTATAGGAAAATTTAAAAGCGACCTACTTGTTTCCCTTGGATTTTCTGACAATCCGAACCCACAGACGAAACAGTAATGGCACTAGTGATAGCTGCAGTAAAAACGGAAACCAGGCAGACGCCAATAAGCATCCATAATATGCTAAACAAACGACCCCAGAGTGTCCGAGGAACCTTGTCGCCATATCTGAAACAATACAGTTACAGTGATATGTAGTAAGCAGTATGATGAGCGGTGAGGGTAGTCGGGTCGGGGAGGGGATTATAGACGATGATTCAATTGTCCGATGCACCTTTTCACAGACTGATATTGGCGGAGACAGGTTTTCATGGGTGGAGTTTGTAAGGGACCTTTTGTCTCCCTTAGGAATCCCGGTTCACAGGCATGTGACCTTCTACCCTCGTGATTTCAAATGGAAAGGTATAGTCATTGATGACGGAATGAAATATACTGATATAATAGAAACTTCACCTGAGCACTGTGGCAACCAACCTCAACTAGTTTACCTCACAAATACATTGGTAATAGCTGCTGCTTTTCTTACCCTACGGTTGTCATGGTAACAAACGCCCACCAAAATCCTTCTGATGATCCCTTTCCAAAGGAAGACGGGAATTCTCGCTCCCCTGAATGCATTTCCTGAAGAGGATACAAGTTTAGTTTTCGTTCGTCTTTATATGGGACTTAATTGCTTATCTACTTAAAGGCGTCTGTTGTCTAATAGTTTCAAAAAGCTAAAAGATGATTGAAAACCAACTTTTATTAAAACAAAAAACAAAACAAAATAAAACAGTAATACATTTTTTCTTCTTTTTAGCCTGACAGCCAACTCTTTTCTTTAGTGCGAGGACTTCTGTAAGAGGAACACCTGAATGTAGCTGACATCTATTGATGGCCCCTGCGGCCCCTGCTTTTCTTCAATCTTTTTCCTTTTGACATATGAGGAATTAAAATTTACCCTTAAAGTAAGGTCAGGAGGTTACAAAAACGAAATGAATAAACAGGTTTATTCTTGATCATTGTATTTCTATATAGTTGGATTTAACAAGAATCGAGGGAGACTCTCCTTCTCTAGACTCATTCCCTACCTATAACCGTAATTTAAGCAATAAAAGCCTGGATATGAGACGAAGTGTGCGGGTAGCGCAAGACTGGGTATTAAAAGAAGATCATCTCATGATTCAGGGCAGGAGTTGATATCTTATACTTCGAGTGCGCTCATAGACATGGCGGAGATTCTATTTTAGCGGGGAAAGTGCCCTAAAATGTGTCTAAAAATAAACTTGTCCGTAAAAACGCCGTGATACATAGGCCTAGTATGGGAGTTGCTCGCTCCGGGTAATGGGCTCCTGTTCAGGGTGCATCGAACCTGTCCCAGGAGCGACTGGGAACATGTCCACTAATGCAACCCTCCCCACTTCCACTCAAAACCGTATCTAATTCACTTACCAATGCCCATATTGAGATGCCTGAAATACCCGCCAGTAGCAGCATTGCAGCACAGATAGGCCAAGCAGATAATATTGTAGCGGTCGTCTTGCTCGCGATCTGGTCCTTACAAGCACTGTAATCAATTACCATGGCGAGACCCGGCGACTTTAAAACTCCGACTAGGGTCACGCGATCATTACCTGACTTCTCCCACTCTTCATCCAACGAAGCGGAGAGAGACGGAGCAATCGGGATAGCGATGTCTGCTGTGCCATTGAGGACGTACGCACTTAAATCATATTGTGTCGCAACTTTCTTCCAGATGATATTTTTCGTGTTACAGCGGTATTGTGTAAAACAACGGTCTAACGCAGCCTTCACGTAATCGTAGATAAAACCATTACCAATTTTTAAAGAGTTATCCAACACATACGGGGGCTCGCTTAGGAAAACCACAGTGAAATCTCGGTCGGATATCGTGCAAGCTGCATCCGTGTAAAAATTGGATCGGGAATCGGCCGAGCTCCAAAGAATTATTAGCAAAATAGTCACTATTGGCATTTGAATCGATCCCCCTGTGCAACCCATTTTGACGGGCAAAAGGTCAAACAACAGTGAACAACAGTGATAATTATGTAGAGCTCTATCACGTGCCTTAGTATGTTGTTGAACTATATCACGCGATACTTTTTTGGCAGGTGCAAAAATCGAGAGGGGAGGGGGAAAGGGGAGGGAGAAAAGCTCGAAAGGGAAAAGGGGAAGGGAGGGTCCCTTACCCTCTCTCCCTAATCCCCTCCTTCAAGATCCCCCCGGGATTCACGTCAAGAAGTTTCACATTGCTTTTCGCCTTATCCAAGGTTTGGCCCGGTTAATCATGACTTTTCTATTTACTTGCCGTGGTGATTTTGCTCTTTTCCCGTTTGCTTAATATTTCTTTTGGCCTTTGTTTTATTTTGTTGTTTGTTTTATTAATCTTCTACATTTTTTCAGGTACGCAAGTTCGTCTTTGCATACTTTCTTTCTTTTTTTTTTTGAAACTCAGCGAAAAGTGAGCAGCATAATGAAGGGATTACTCTGTATAATCGACATGCAAGGAGCTCGAGTCAGGGGCTCATAGCTGAGTGCTTATTCTTCAGTTTGTGTCTGGAGCCGATGCTTGTTTAGACTACGAGCAGTCCCTCATTTTCCCTCAGGGATCAGTAAAGCAAGCGAAACGCAAGAGCGCGTGAAAATCACTCCACGCAAGAGAGGCGTCACGCGCGCTCGCATTTCGGTTGACTACTATCCCTGAGGGAAATACAGGGACTACTCGTAGTCCAATGTTTGCTTGGTTCTTTGGTTCCCTCTCTAGAGAGAATGTGTTATTTTTTTGTTCCCTACATAAAAAAGGGTCTATATAACTATATTAATTCTGTCACTTCATTCATTTGTTTTATAGTCATTTTGGTTTCTTAAGTTCTTTCGCCAACCTAGTTTATCACTTGCCCGCCCCCGGTATCGTTTGAAATACCCAACTGAATTCAATTCCTCTCACAATGATCTAGAAAGATTTCCGCCGTCGCCCGGCCTAAAGACACCACTAAAAAGTCAGGGGGGCTGTTAATTGGAAACAGTAGTGACATGACTCTACCTCTTACATGAAGAAGGAAGTGAAACGCAAAAGCAAATACAAGCGAGCAGAAAGGGAGCTAATGAGGTTTATGAGGTTTATAACCTGAAAAACGTTGTTATAAAAGCATGATCTCGCGAGTATGGTGTGCTCTGGTCGCTGCTCAGCTCGGGTTTGGAGCTTATGGCGTGATTGTTACTGTTTTTGCAAAAGATAGCAAAGCCGATCCACTTGTGTTTTGCCTTCTCCAAGATGCTGGGGCTTTCCCTGTAATGTTGATAGCAGCGTTTTGCATCGAAGGAAAAGTTAGTGTACCTTCCCTGAGGTAGGCTTTAATGTGTTATATCTTCGATCTAGCTTGAGTATTTTTATTTTGCTCATGGGGACATGTTTTCCCGGAGACTTAAAATGCTGCTAAGGAACAGACCAAGGCTGCGAAATATGTTGTTTTTAACGCGAGAAAAACATGAATATCTCCACCCTGCTTCGTTATTTAATTCAGAACTTGAACAAACTTTGTGATATCGGTCGTGTTATTGAGTTAAACTTTTTAATAATAAGCCTGAGTAGAGCAGGCGTTTTATACGAACGCTTGATTGTTTAAAATTCGATCGCGTTAGGCGCCATTTTGGCAGCAATTAAAAATTGGACTCCTTGGACTTCGGGAAGCGGCAGGGGTATTTTGCAGAACGCCGAATGCAGAACACCGAATGACTCTGAAGTTTGGTGATTAGGATTAGGAATCTGAGTGAACTAAGTTTCAGGTCAGATTTTTTAGTACAACGACCCTGAATGGAACCTGATTCACTCAGTTTCTTAACCCTCTTCACTTAAACTTCAGAGTCATTCGTCGTTCTGCATTTGGCGTTCGGTGAATGTAGAACACCGAATGACTCTGAAGTTTGGTGATTAGGGTTAGGAAACGGGGTGAATTATGTTTCAGGTCTGTTTTGCCAGTTTTTATGACGCTAAGTGGAACTTGATTCACTCGGTTTCCTAACCCCAATCACTAAATTCAAAGCCATCCGGTGTTCAGCATTCTGCAAAATACCCTGCCGTTGGGGAAGGGATGGTAAGAGGACAACAGAAATGTCTCCTAGCAAAGCCTATGAAATGGCCCATTTTACAGTTACGGTATGAATGAGAAAGGGGATGGAATTGATCTTGTTGTGATACAACCCTTCCTGCGTTCTGATGTAAATCATGTTGTTCTCATACTAGCAAGTCGTTATCAAGCATAATTAAATTTATTTCCATAAGAAAACAAAGAAGGTTTGTATCAAAACAAGGTCAACCTCAGCCTTACTTCACTCGAAGGTTGGGGAGTTAAACCCACAAATAGAAAATTGTCTTTTACAGAATACACCCAAATTGGTTGTGCTTGATTGCTTTTGCAGAAATACATAAACAGACTTTGAAAATTGAGTTTGTTTTCAGTGAAAGCCAGAAATTTACTTCCGCCAACTACATTGACACATGCATTTGATAAGTCTTGTTTAATCCAATAGGATATGCTGCTGTGCTTTGTACTTGCTGATTCTTTTCTTTTTCGTTGTCATTAACCTGGACTTTGTCTTAGTCCATAAGATTACATGCAAAAGAAAACGAACTTTGCCAATATCCAGCCATCTTGATGTCATGCATGATCAATAACACATATTTTATGTGATATTGTGTACAGTATAATTTATAATAAAATAGCACAGATTAGTGCATTTTTTTCAGTAGAGATGACAGTTTTATACGAAAACCCTTTGTTTTTCTTGCAGAAGCATCCCACTGCTGATGGTCCTTGGTTTTACAGGAATGTTTGTTGGCCAGCTGCTCTATCTTTTGGGCATTTACTTAACAAATGCTAATCTTGCATCCATGTTTCAGCCGTCGGTGCCAGTGTGGAGTGCGCTTCTCACCATACTGTCAGGAGTAGAACCACCTCCTATGTTCACAAAACCTCATGGTGTGGCCAAAATTTTTGGCATTTTCTTAGCAGTTACTGGAGCTGTGACAATGACCATTGCAAAGCTTGGAGGTGAAGACAGTCCTAATGAAGAGTCTTGGTTCGCCAGCGGCACATCTGTTGGTAGTCAGTTCGTGGGTTGTATCTGTCTCCTTGTCCAAGTCGCAAGCACTGCAACGTATTATGTAATTCAGAAGAAGTACATATTCAATCAACCATACTCTGTTTGGAAGAACCAGCCAATTGCCGTTACTGCCTGGAGCTACTTATTTGGTGCCCTTTTCATGGCTCTTGCATCACTTTCTTACATCAATCACCTGGAGAAGTTTGCCAGTTTCTCTACAGAGGCCTTCTACTGCCTTGTGTACGCCATCTTTATCACATCGACAATGTGCTACTTGCTGTTGTCATGGTGCAACATGCAGGCTCCATCCACCATAGTCACTGCGTCATGGCCTCTGCAGTCCCTATTCTGTGCACTTTTTTCATTTATATTTCTTCACAAGTCACTGCAGCTGATGGAGTTTTTTGGAGGCAGCTTCATTGTTTGTGGCCTTGCAGCAGTTTTGTGGTCAAGCTATACAGAAGACAGGGAACTCAACATGCAACTCAATGAAAGGAACACAAAGGCCAAGCTACCTCATAATTTGGACTGGAAATTCTCTGAAGCTATAACTGACGGTTATGTGGTGGTCCCTAACGATGACAATGAGTAACTTGCACATAATAGAATACTACACATTATATTGTCAAATGTTCTGGGTTTCCATTCTAACGACACATTGGTGTACATTGTACCTAGAGTAAAAGAGGTTATTGTTTCCTTATAAGCAAAACATTTGCATAGGAATTGTTTTTAGTCATGATTGTGTTTCAGAAACAACTGCAATGGAATCATAAAGCTTATTAGATTATTTACATGTGGGCAGCATGGATAAACAAACAACTAAGACTAAGAATAGGTTACAGTATTTTATAACTATGTCAATACACTATAACAGGCTACATATTTTACAATAAATTATTTGGGTTCAATTAGGGTTTTTTAACTACCCTATTCCTATTAATTTTCGCGATAATTGCACATTTTAAACGTCGGTAAAAACAATATAATCGATAAATTTTAAGACTGTTATGAACAAGACATACAGTTTACTATACCAATTTTAATGAAGAAGTCGCAGCTACAACTTAGTAAAAAAGAAACTTTAGTCCCACCCTTGATTTTTCAGTTACCTTTTCTCACGCCAACTCTCATTTGCATCGCTGTCTTCCTTAAAGACTTTTAGACGTTTAAGCCTTTTTTGCAATCTTAAACGTTCCGTCTGCAGGGGCGGATCTAGGGGGAGGGTGCAGGGGGTGTGCCCCCCCTCCCTGAGATGACCTGCGGTTTTCTAATACAACTGGTATTCTGCAAAAAAAACTATGTGGTTTATTGGTGTTGAAGTAGAGCAAGGGACGAGTGCACCCCCTCCTAAAAAAATCCTGGATCCGCCCCTGGTCTGTGACGGCGAAACAAGTGAAACCTAGCCTGCGTGGCAGGCGTTAAAAGGGGAAGGGGGAATTTGGGCGCGCCAGAAAGCGTGGGGCACGTGGTCTCGCGCCCTAATTCCCTTCCCCTTCCCTTTCGAATGGCTGCCACGCAGGCCAAGTGAAACCTTAAGAGCCACACAAATGCAAAACTTTCTGAACTTTATTCAAGTGTGTCTTGTAAATTGACTGGTCGTTATGAGAACAAAGAAATGAGGAAGTAGTACTGTAAGCTTTGATTCTTTTTACTTCAAAATTGCGAAATTGAATATTCGTAAAAAAACCCGGCGACTCCCGATAGTCTCACGAAATTAAGTGCTTGCGAATATTAGGAAGAACAAGGCACAAACGTGACAAAATGTTTGAGAAACTTTCATTCAGTGGATATTTTTTGGGTAACGTAATACACTGACTGAAACCTTCCTTGATCACCCGAATGAAAGGTTGCGTTGTTGACTAAGTAACACCGGAAAGTTAACAGTATTGCAATCATTGCAATGATGTATAGACGGAGGAGGGCACCGTTGGTCATTTTATTTTACATTGTTCCTTACAGACCTTACAAAGTAAGGCCGTTAATGTCTTTTAAGAGAAAGAGTGTCAACATATTTTGACTGTAGCTTGCGAGCATGCTCTCCAATTGGGGGAGTCGCCAGAAGTCAGGGAGAGCTCTCCTCGCGCGCGTTTTCTCGCTGCTCGCTTCGCTCGCCATACTTGGAGAGCTTGCTCGCAGGCTATTTTTACGCCCGTTGCCTTGCCATGACTTGCTAACCAACATGTATATTGGGAAATGACAGTAAGAAAGCTTCAAGAGTTTTTACATTAAACGGAAATCATTGAGGAACTGAAAACGAGTGAAATAGAAAAAAAAACTATAGAGACCTAACTCATTTCGTATCCACTGGTATTCATCAGTGGTGGATCCAGGGGAGGGGCTCGGGGGCCCCTTATTTTTAGACCAAACTGAGGCCCGAAGGGTCGAAAAAAATTTTTTTGAGACCGCCGTCCCCCTATCTCAGGGTCTGGATGACCGACCCCCCCTTCCCTTATCTGAAGGTCTGGATTCGCCACTGTTCATGCCATTTGTATATTTTACTCACCACTTTGAAAGGTCTACGGTCATCTCGCCACCAAACCATTTCGCCACCAAGAAGTCAACTCGCCACTCACTAATAACTCCGTAATAATCGACGTGTTTACTCACCTAGAAGTAACGAACAGGAGGGCATTTTGTATGCGCATGCGTCAACATAGTCTGTTGAAGTGCCACAGAAGCATTTTCTGTGAATTGTTTACGTTCACTACGCACTTAAGAAAGCAGTCAAAAATAGGGTACAATACCATGGGGAACGTTGTAATAGAGGGCAATTCATAGCACTGTGGAATACCACGTTTTAAAATCGTATATAATCGACTCTCTAGGACCTACAAACTATTTTATCACACATTACAGGAAAAAACCTAAAATTTTTAGTGATATGAGCTGTTCTTTTAGTTTCTGAATAGCAATTTTGCAGTATTTCGTATCCGTGGTGTAGTTAACGTGCAAATCTGTCACCGACCCACCATGGTGCAGCAATGGCTAAAATCATTCTCGCGTTACCAATCTGGATTTATCCTTTAGAATTGCCTCTTGGTCCCATTGTTTTTATCAGAAAGTGGTTTTGTGACGGGTTTATGGATGATTGAGACCATTGTCCGTAGACCTTAATTGATCCATCTTACTTGGAGTGGTCTCAAAAGTTAATGACCTAAGGCAGGCTTGACCTTCGTTCATGTAATCTACTTTTTATTGCATCAAGGCTTAATGCCAAGTCTGATAGTTTAGTTTCATGGCATCGAGAACCTGGTGCCACAGCTGTTGATGCTTTCATTATTACCTGGGCTAATTTTAATTGTTACGCTTCTCCTCAGTTCTAGTCAGCTGTCTCGACTTTCGGCAAAAGAAAAAGGTAACCAAAACGTGTAATAAGCCGTCTTCGCCATCTCTGTACGGTTTTATTTGCAGTCACTGGTAAGAAAGGCACTGATGTTCTTAAGACCCCTTCTACTCACTGCGCCTGTTGGCTCGGATCTCAATGACGGAATAAAAATGAAACAGCGCTGTCACCTACTTAGGCAGCAGGATGAAGTGAAATGCCCATAGTAACTTAGTAGATGTCATGGATGGAGTCTTTCCTTCAAAAGAACCTTTTTCAAATAATGAATATCTGATTTTGGGTGCAAACTTGAGTCGATGTAGATTTTCTTGCCGTTGGCAAACTGACCAAAACAACTTTTCCAATGGCTTATGAAGCCAAAAAAGGACGTCTTACCTTCTCGTTTTATGTGATAAAAAGGTTCACGCAAATATTTGTAAAAGTTAATCAAAAAATGAAAAATAAAAGGGTGTTGGAATCTTATTATAATCTTTTTTACTACCAGTTATCATCTTCGGCCGGACTTACTCTTCTCCGAAGTGGGTACCAAGGTCACACATATACAAGATGATTCTTAAGTTAAAAAAGCTGACAAACATTGTTTTAAAGAATAATACAAAGAATGGTAAAAGAGGGTCAAAAACGAGATTCACCCTGTGCAGATTCACCTGATCGGGATTCGGGATCGGCACCTGATCACAGTAGTATCAGTAATAAAGAGGTTAAGTTTATATGAAATTACTCTCTGGGGCCGAGATTTCGTGTCCGTTGTCCGTATTAGAAAGAGTCGGTATTATGGAGGTTTTTTTAAAGAAAATATATGAGAATTTCTCGGGACATTGGAAACTGTCCGTAATAGAGAGGAGTCCGTATTAGAGAGATGTCGATCCGTATCGAGAGGTTCGACTGTATTCTTTTCTACCACTAATTATCATGTGAAAGGTTTAAATCCAGGAGTCATTTCAAAAGTAGGTTGAGTTTCATCGTCCGAGTAAACGTAGTCCTGTATAGAACTGTTGTTGTTGACATTGACTGATGTTTCGACAACCTGTGCGGTCATGTCAGAGTCAAGGTAAGTTGTATCACGTCAGTTGATAGTATTATACCCTGGTTATAGAGCAAAACTCTGGTGGTAAAAAGGTTACTTTCCAAAATGTTAGTTTTCTTAATCATTGACTTCAAAATACTCGGTCATTTGAAAAAAAAAAATTCTTTCAAGAGAAAACCGTTTTTAAAGGCGTCATTTTTTGACACTTTCAAACTGCGACACTGCTATAATTCGTCGCTAGTACTCTCTAGGGTGGATGCCACTTTAGTCAAAGCGGCGTACAATGTTGCTTGTCCTCAACCTAACGGAAACACTTTAATAACTTTATGCTGTGCTAATGATGTTGGACAGGGTGTGGACCCGTTTACCACGGCTTTCAGCGGATACCTAGGTCACGCATGTAAAAGATAACTGTTAAGATATAGCAACAAATACGAGCTAAAAAATAAAGTCCTAAAGAATAATACAATGAATGCTAACCTGAGAATAGTATGATGAATGGTAAAAGAGGGTAAAAAATATGACTCTACGTACCGCGCCACGAAAAGCCTTTCCCATTTTTAAAGGAAATTGATCTTTCACAGTTTAGCCTAAAAATTTGCTACATTTGAATGTAAATAAGGTCAATTCTCGTCGAAATATGTTTTTTAGGAAAATCGACAAGATAGCTTTGTAAGCAGCTCGAACATTTAAATCGTTGTTGTCAAAGGAAGCACAACGTTCAACAGACCGTCACTATTCTTTTCTACCACCTAGTATCATCTTCGGGCCTTATTCTTTTCCGAAGCCGCCCTTCTTGGTGTATAAAGTTTTCATTTAAATTTACTCCAAGCTTACAGAATGGTAAACATCGGTGGTGACTAGGTGTCAAAATCGTTAGTTTTTCTTTTTATCGGTAGATTTCTTTTCACAGTTTCCAATCCTGGAAAGAATGTCCACACACCCACGTCACCGTTATATATGCGGATAAAAAGTACACGCAGCAAAGCAAGTTCAACTTCTTTTACCTTCTAATAACAAATAAACTAAGATATGGATTAGTTTATACGAATAATTCAATGAATGGTGAAGGAGGATCATAAACGAGGTTCTACTAACCACGTCCATTGAAAAGCCTTTTACGTTATTAGCAACAAATTTAAATGGGTTATTTTCAAAGATTTCGCTAAGAATTCACCAAACGTATACAAAAGAAAAATGCTTTTTGCAACACGGTTTTTCAGAAAATGGAGGAGTTCAGACGTTTGACTCGTTGAAATAGTTTGAGTAGAATAGAAAAACAGCATTCAACCGAATGTTCTATTTTACCACTAGTTATCATCTTTGACCGTTTCTATTCTTCTCCGAAGGAAACCGTCTTTGTGTATTAAGAATTTTTAATGTTTATTCTCAACCATGCAATCAACAGCCTTTCTGTTAA